TTCCAGCTTTGCTCAAGTGACGCTGCTCCGAACATGCAGCCACAAACATTGTCTTTTACAGTGACAGAGCACAGCCCATGTTGAACCACTACATTTTAGGCTGAGGTTTCATGCTTCCAGGTGTGGTGATTTTCTTTCTCTTGATGGTTTTCTGGTGAGGTTGAACATGTCGTGCATCTAATTCATTTGAACTAACTGGTACCGCCGTTTAATGCCCATGTGGCCTGAACGACAACGGTCCCGTTTTGGGAGTAACGCACGGCTCTCTAGGATCGAACTGAATCCCTTTAATGTCAATTTGTTGTTTCACTTTTCGTCATCAACTAGTCCCCCATTCGGTCCCTAATTTCTCCCCCGTGCCCCTCTGTAATGCGTCGTGGGGTTTAGGTGAGTGCTCTGTGTTGGTTAGGTCCGTCTCGCCGTGTATAGGTTGGTTCTTGAGGTCCGTTTGTTTCCTTCCCCTCCCTGCGCTGTCTTGGCCTTTGGCCCGTCGTTTGTGTCCGCTTTTTCTCTTCCTCTTGCCTTTCAGACCCGGCTCCGGCCGGGTGTGTGTGTGTGTGCGCGCAGGTGTGTGTGTGTGTGTGAGTGTGTAACGTCTGAATAGACGTAAAACTTCTGCAGGGGGTGCCAGGGATGCACACTGGACTGGCACCAACGAAGACGCCAGTGTGTCATCTGTGATATCAACGGGGATGCTCATCTACGTACCTGCTTTTTGAGATTTACTGCAATGGCACGGGGCTAAGCCGAGAACCCCAACCACGACGATTTTATTTCGACACGGTTGCCACAATCTGGTCTTCATTACAATTATTTTATCTCGCTGACATGGCAAAGGGCTAAGCCGAGAACCCTTACATCACAGATTTCACGTGGCTACTGGTTTTGGGATCTACTTGAACCTGTTTCTGGTCGTGATTGTCTTTGTCGGAATACCTTCCCAATCTCCGGATACTACTTCGAGGAGATCTACCTTAGGTCATTGGTTCTAATCTAATTGCATGTGAGGGGATTCAGTTCCCAACGGATCACTTCAATGATCCATTTCTTGTCAGTGATAGTCGTGAAGGCAGTTGAAGTTTTGCAAAACAATAATGGCAGGTGAATCTTTGTCATGTAGAAACATGAGACAACATTGCTCGACCAACGGTCTGTGTGTGTGGTTTAGATCGCACATGTCAACAAACCTGTCGTGCTAAAGGGGCAAATGCATCGTCGCACAGCCTACTTTGCAGTGATAGTCGTGTAGGCTGTTGAAGCTTTGCAAGACAATTTGATCGTCCACAGTCTGTCCATAGTGATCAATAGTTGCAGGTGAATCTTTGTCATGTAGAAACATGAGACAACATTGCTCGACCAACGGTCTGTGTGTGTGGTTTAGATCCATCGTCGCATAGCCTACGTTGCAGTGATAGTCGTGTAGGCTGTTGAAGCTTTGCAAGACAATAGTGGCAGGTGAATCTTTGTCATGTAGAAACATGGGACAACATTGCTCGACCAACGGTCTGTATGTGTGGTTTAGATCGCACATGTCAACAAACCTGTCGTGCTAAAGGGGCAAATGCATCGTCGCACAGCCTACGTTGCAGTGATAGTCGTGTAGGCTGTTGAAGCTTTGCAAGACAATTTGATCGTCCACGGTCTGTCCATAGTGATCAAGTTGCAGGTGAATCTTTGTCATGTAGACACATGAGACAACATTGCTCGACCAACGGTCTGTGTGTGTGGTTTAGATCGCACATGTCAACAAACCTGTCGTGCTAAAGGCGCAAATGCATCGTCGCACAGCCTACGTTGCAGTGATAGTCGTGTAGGCTGTTGAAGCTTTGCAAGACAATAGTGGCAGGTGAATCTTTGTCATGTAGAAGGATGAGACAACATTGCTCGACCAACGGTCTGTGTGTGTGGTTTAGATCGCACATGTCAACAAACCTGTCGTGCTAAAGGGGCAAATGCATCGTCGCACAGCCTACGTTGCAGTGATAGTCGTGTAAGCTGTTGAAGCTTTGCAAGACAATAGTGGCAGGTGCATCTTTGTCATGTTGAGACAACATTGCTCGACCAACGGTCTGTGTGTGTGGTTTAGATCCATCGTCGCACAGCCTACGTTGCAGTGATAGTCGTGTAGGCTGTTGAAGCTTTGCAAGACAATTTGATCGTCCACAGTCTGTTCATAGTGATCAAGAGTTGCAGGTGAATCTTTGTCATGTAGAAGCATGATCAACATTGCTCGATCAACGGTCTGTATGTGTGGTTTAGATCGCACATGTCAACAAACCTGTCGTGCTAAAGGGGCAAATGCATCGTCGCACAGCCTACGTTGCAGTGATAGTCGTGTAGGCTGTTGAAGCTTTGCAAGACAATTTGATCGTCCACGGTCTGTCCATAGTGATCAAGTTGCAGGTGAATCTTTGTCATGTAGACACATGAGACAACATTGCTCGACCAACGGTCTGTGTGTGTGGTTTAGATCGCACATGTCAACAAACCTGTCGTGCTAAAGGCGCAAATGCATCGTCGCACAGCCTACGTTGCAGTGATAGTCGTGTAGGCTGTTGAAGCTTTGCAAGACAATTTGATCGTCCACAGTCTGTCCATAGTAATCAAGAGTTGCAGGTTGTCATGTAGAAACATGAGACAACATTGCTCGACCAACGGTCTGTGTGTGTGGTTTAGATCGCACATGTCAACAAACCTGTCGTGCTAAAGGGGCAAATGCATCGTCGCACAGCCTACGTTGCAGTGATAGTCGCGTAGGCTGTTGAAGCTTTGCAAGACAATTTGATCGTCCACAGTCTGTCCATAGTGATCAATAGTTGCAGGTGAATCTTTGTCATGTAGAAACATGAGACAACATTGCTCGACCAACGGTCTGTGTGTGTGGTTTAGATCGCACATGTCAACAAACCTGTCGTGCTAAAGGGGCAAATGCATCGTCGCACAGCCTACGTTGCAGTGATAGTCGTGTAGGCTGTTGAAGCTTTGCAGGACAATTTGATCGTCATGTAGAAGCATGAGACAACATTGCTCGACCAACGGTCTGTATGTGTGGTTTAGATCGCACATGTCAACAAACCTGTCGTGCGAAAGGGCCAAATGCATCGTCGCACAGCCAACATTGCAGTGATAGTCGTGTAGGCTGTTGAAGCTTTGCAAGACAATAGTGGCAGGTGAATCTTTGTCATGTAGAAGGATGAGACAACATTGCTCGACCAACGGTCTGTGTGTGTGTGTGGTTTAGATCGCACATGTCAACAAACCTGTCGTGTTAAAGGGGCAAATGCATCGTCGCACAGCCTACGTTGCAGTGATAGTCGTGTAGGCTGTTGAAGCTTTGCAAGACAATTTGATCGTCATGTAGAAGCATGAGACAACATTGCTCGACCAACGGTCTGTATGTGTGGTTTAGATCGCACATGTCAACAAACCTGTCGTGCGAAAGGGCCAAATGCATCGTCGCACAGCCAACATTGCAGTGATAGTCGTGTAGGCTGTTGAAGCTTTGCAAGACAATTTGATCGTCCACAGTCTATCCATTGCGGTGGAGAGTAGTGGTCGGTGCTGTTTATGCTTGTGTATGTGACACACCATGACAGAGGATAGAGATGGATAGAGGGTCGAATCTCAATCCTGGAAATGAGAAGGAGGGAAAGTGCCGGGCAACATCTCATCATGGATCCTTTTCAGAATTTCACGTTCTCCAGTGATAAGTGCCGCGGAGACATTTGAGTGATAGGCGGCATTTCGAAGCCAGAGAATGAGTGAAAGCGCAGCGGACTGCAATTAGAAATTGAGATTACCTAAAAAGCATAAAAACAACTGGATTGAAGCCTACAAGATCTTGAAAATTCATGAAGCAGATGGTTTTTTTTCCCCCAATCGAACAATTTCAAGGTGCCAGTGCCAGTTCTACAAGGCATAGGCAGTGATGGAGATTTTCCAGAACAAATTGGCAGGGTAGGATAAACGCCTTGCGTTTGTCTGAACATAAGGGCATACGGTATGTGATTGCTAAACTTCCGGCTCAATTTTTGCATTCAAAGTTGCCACCCCCTTTGCCACCAAAATACAGGTGCCCCCATGTTTGCCATCACATTCTGCCATCAAACCTGCCACCAACTCTTCATTGCCACTGAAAATGCCACCCACATTGCCATATCTAACTGCCACCGCCGCCGAACTTGCCACCAAACTTGCCACCTTAAACCGCCACGAACCTCTGGCATAAGATAGAACCATATGAAAGCATACCTTTTAAATCTTAGATAAGGCATACCGTATGAAATCCACCGGTGAATCATCATTTTCTCATCTATTTTGCTTCAAAGAAGCGACACTCTGGTCATTTCTCAGGGGCAGAGGTGAACATCACCATTTTCCCACATATATTTCCCATACATTTTCCATATAAATTATATAATTATATATAATTATATGATAAATCATATGTTGTTGCATGTTCCACATCATCCATTTTCAGCCGTAAATCATGAAACTTTTGCAGTGAATTTCGTCGCCAAGGCGGACCTGGACTTGTCAGAGCTCACTGCCGTTTTGGCTGCTGGGCCTGGGCGGTTTATAGGTTTGCAAAGTTGGTTCCAACTATGGACAACTACGGAAACTGGACTGTATGGTTATGATATAATATATCTACACTAAGTGGAGGCTATAAAACAACTCATTAGCTGGGGGCACCACCTTGTCACTGTGCGGAATTCTTTGCTGATTATTTGCAGGTCTTTTTTTTCCGGGTTTCTTGCTGTTGCTGAGGCAGCTGCAAACAAAGTTGGTGGGCTACCAGCAGCCAGTCAGTGCAGACCTTGGGTTTGAGGCATGAGTTCTTGCCAATTCTTTCGTTTTCTTTCATTTTCTTTCTATTCATTGTCATTTTTCTTGGACGCCCACATATCCTGGAAGAGTGACTCGGCCGAAGAATGACTGGTGAAGAGTTTAGTGAACTCTCTCTCCCTTCTGAAGTGAAGTACTTTACTTACACAGAAATGAGCAGCGATCGCAGCGCCTGCATGGCTCTGCGGATAGCCAAGGCTGTTGGAGAGTCTACTGGAGCAACTGGCAGAGCAATCGCCATTGGATCTGAAAGAAGAGGTCCCTTCAACAGCGCACTGCTGGGCGAGAAACCTCTAGTTTTCCTGAGTGGGATGAATATCCATGTATTTACCAGCTGAAATTTGATGTGAACATCATTTACCAGCTGAAATTTGGATATGAACCTCATCATCCCCCTTAATTTTCAGGTGGACAACGCACGCATTTCCCGGTTGTTTCTTCATCCTTCAAGCGGCTTCATCGCCAGGATCTCTATGGCACCTTGGAGGTCCTCGGAGGCCATGTTGGCGAGGCGAAAAAGCGTTGCGAGACACAGCGATTGCGTTGGTCATGATGAATGGTACCCTTCATAGTGGGAGAATTGGGACAATAATCCGGGATGATCGAGGATTTTTGGGCCAGGATGTGAGCTGCACGCTTCCCCGCGAACAGCCGTGCTATGGAGGTAGATCCTGCGACATTGGAAGACTTCATCGAGTCCTTGAGGTCAGAATTTGCAGGGCAAGGCCAACCCATGGAGATCATATACCCATATGGCCCATATTGGAGGATGGTCAGATCCCCATAGGAAATTACAATGGCAAATATACGACTTACCCAGGCGATAATGTGGAGGGAGTCACAGTTGCAGGTGGGGTGTACAAATACAAATCACCTGCAAATGACACATGGGATGAGTCAAAAAGTCAAAACCTATAATACCATGCTTTGGGGGATGAACATCCACTTACCAGCTATTTACCAGCTATTTTGATGTTCACCAGAGTGCCATGGTTTTGATGGCCACTTTTTATGGTTCTGGACTTCACAGCTGCTCCACGATTTTGCGATTTCCTAAGGTTCTTTTGGCCCCTTTGCAGTTCGCAGACGCTCATCAAGGCTCGTTTTAAGCTGCGAAAGTGGCCAGCAGTTTGTTTGAATCCTGGTGGATGAGTTGTTCATTTCATGCTGTTTCGAAGCTCAACTCCATGTGAGAGAAAGTGAGCGAGACTAGTCCAAGGTTGCATTTTCTGGTTGACTCGAAGCTTGTACCAAGAGACCCAGCAAGAAAGTACTGACTGCCCTCCAGAAAACTGGCAAAGAACCCATTTGATGTTGGTGAGTATCTAAGTATTCCACATATTGAAACATATTGAAATTACCAGAGGGTATTCGCAAATCCCATGGTTTATCATAAC